ATAGATGCTGGCTGTTCCATTCTCCAAACACTTCATTTGGGAAAGAGAAAGAACCCACACATTCATAACAAGAAATATTCTGCCATCCTGCCCCTCCAGAAGGTACACTGCTCACTGACAAGCCATGATAGAGCTGGGCTTCTGCTACCTAAAAGCGTAAGAGAAACCTTAATAATAACTTTTCATTTGCTAATGACAGCCTCTTAGCTAGGAAGGAGTACATCGAAAGGACCACAAAGAGTTTCCCAGGCTGCTGCCTACCCTAGATTCAGCCAAATATCCTTTTGACAGCCAGCCAGCCAGCCAGCCATCCATCCATCCATCCATCCATCCATCCATCCATCCATCCATCCATCCACACCAACCTGCCTGACTCTTTCTTGGGTACACAGGACTCAAGAAGTGCCTCCATCTGTGAGGGCTAAGAAACAAAGTAGCTATCATAGCTTCTCTGCTTAATGAGGCTATTCTTTCCCCCACCCCTACCCAAGTGGCCTTGATCCCAGATTGGAGTGCACCCTTCAGTGCCTGCTATGTACAATTAGTCAAGATGAGCATACCACTCCAATTAAAATCCTTTCCACTAAGGGCTGCCTTTTTATTTTCTCATCCATCACCTCCCAGTCCTATCTCCTCCTGGTTTGCAGCTCAGCAGGAGAAGAAAGAATCCAATTAGCTTGGTATTACTGCAGAGCTGCTACTAGCAAAAGGAAGTACTTTAAGATCAGGAGGGACCTTTTCCATCACAGGTGGTAGCTGTGCAGCTGGGGGTCCACAGGATGGTGGGAAAGCAAAAGGACAAAAATGGATGCTCCAGAAGGCACACCAATGCCACTTCTAAAAGCTCTGCAGACTGACAAATTGTCTCTCCAGGTCACTGTGGCTGAGGTCTGCTGAAGGAACAGTCCTGCAGAATCAGAATTCTAAATCATTTTGGAAGCCTGCTGAAGGAGAAGCAGGTTCATGCTGAAAAACCAGGTGGAGGGAGCTTCAGGATCACCAGCAAGGTTGTAGGAAGGCCACTATGGGCAATTTTATTCCCATAAAATACATCCATGTGAGGTTGGCTGGGCTGAGAGATAGTGACTAACTGAAAGGCGCCCCCTAAGCTTCTAAGGTAGAGGTTAAACTTAAACTTGGGTCCTTAAGGAGAATTTTGGGGATCAAGCCAAAAGCCCCTAACCCAAATATAGCTTCCCAGGGAAACTAAAACTGCCAGCTCAGCTATACAACATTTAGAAGGCCAAGGAAAGCTGATAAGCTGGGAAAAGATACTGGGAGGTGAGCCGAGCTCTGGGAAAGTGAAAGAAATAACTGCCTCTTTGTTCTTTGAAAACCCCATTGTCTTTGTAGTCCTACCCCATTACTCATAGTTACAGCCAAATTACCTCACTAGGCACGTGATGTGTTACACCCAATCAAATACCTGGCTGTTATATCCAATCACCTGTATAGTCTAATTCAGTGTTTTTCAACCTTGACTATTTTAAGACGTGTGACTTCAACTCCCAGAATTCTCCAGCCAGTTGAAGTCCACACATCTTAAAATGGCTAAGGTTGAGAAACACTGGACTAATTTGTATAAATCTATAAAGAGGGACTGTAACCCTAACCCGCTTTAGACCTGTCCTTCACTCCAGTGTTGTCGATAAACCCATTTGTGGTTCAGTGTGATGTGTCCTGGTCTCTGGTTGAAACATAGCTATGGGAAAATTCTCCTACATTCCCTCAGTCCTAGTCCAATACCTTTAGTACCTCACACAGACTGTAAGTGCTTTGCTTCTAAATTCAGCTTGACCTTTCCCTTAGTGGCCATATAGAGATGCGAAAAACAGCTTTTCCCCCTACTGTATGAAGAGTTTTCTTGCCTTAGCTACATTCATCATACTCTTTTTTTTAAAAGTTTGTTTCTGGGTTTTTAAAATATCTACAACATTTAACTCTTAAAAAAAAAAAGATGAATCTTAGTGGCAACTCTCCCACCAATCCTTCTCTACCTCCATCTGTAGTTGCCTCTGGCAGCCATTTTAGAGTGCAGCATAATTAGGACAGCTATGCTTAGAAAAATATTAATTCTCTCTACAGCTCAGAATGTAAATCAGAGCTCCATTCAGTTGCAGAATGCATGGTTTTCCTTTGAGTTTATTTTTAACCGAATCTCAATGGCTGCTCAGACGAGACTCTAAACCTATATTTTCCATCCTTCCGCTTTGCAGCTTGCTTTGTGTTACACTGTAGTGCAAAGCAAGCTGTAAAGCACAAGTTTGGAAAATGCAGGATGAAAGTGGCTAATGGTCACGGATAACAGAAATGTAAACTAGAGGGCATCAGGGTGGGGAGTTAGACCACCATAGATCACTCCATGGAAACTCTGCAGCCCTGGAGAAAGCAGGGTGGTGCAGTTCCAGAACTTGGGAAAACTCTTAAATCCATTCCTGGTAGACTCTTTTCTCCTAACCAACTCCGCTTCTTCTGAGGCCAAGCAAAACTTTCTTTCCAGGATGTACATGCAGTTGCTCTACCTTGTTGGAAACATGGAGACACCTGAGGAATTTGATCAGTGTGCACGCCTTGATAAAGTGACCTTATTCATATTTCTTTGAATGATGTGCAGAATAGAATTTAGCTTTCCACTATATTTTACACTTTGCCAAAAGTTGCAAAAATATTTCTGGCAGTTTACATGCATCCAAATGCTCAAATATGAATGTGAGAAAAAGTATACATCTAAAGTGAAAGTTGCTATTTACTCATTATTATTAAATTAGCAAATATGACCTTGAAAAGAATCAACACAATGCATGTGGTTACAAACTGTTGAAGTGGAAAGTATATAATTATGTGTAAGAATACGTGAAAGAAATGTAAATGGATACAATTGCCCATCTTATGGAAAGACTATCACCCTTAGGAGTTTCTTTAAATTTTTCAGGAGGAGAAATTTTCCAATTATATGCTTTGTTTTCCCTTGTCCCCAAATTGGCCTCAGAATAATTCATCCATCAATACTTTGAAACTTACGTTTTAGAAATTGTCATCTCTTACTGTATTGTTATCATGTTTGAAACATAATAGAGTTTTAAATTAAATTAATCCTACTAGTCTGATTTTTCATTAACCAGATGCTAAGATATATGAGATTGAAAACCGAGAAATCTTGTTCTTTGCAAGCATTTGATCAGCCTTAGATAGGGATAAACAGGTTTGATGGCTATGGGTGGACTGGACCGTGCTGCTCACAGAATCCCTGAACGTACGGGTTTTTGCAAAGAGCTTTCTGTATTTAACTACTGAGGACTCGAAAGTCTGAAGCTAAGAGTCCTAGTAAGTAAGGCTGAAAAATTTCACCTAAAGATGCTTATAATTTATTTTCACATTTTCTTTTTAGAAATTATATTAATTTAATAGGAAAAAAACAACAGGAAAAAAGAAAAGGAATAAGCATATAATTTTTACAACTGCCCAGAGTCACTTCGAGTCAGGCAGTGTAAACATTTAATAAAATAAATAAATAAACACATACAAAGGCAGACGTAGGATTGTAATTCCCGACTCATCTGTGTCGTTATTTATGTTTTCTGGTTGTTAGTACTGTTATGGTTGCATAAGCTTTGCACTGAGGTAATGGCTGAAATAAAAATGTATAGGATGAAATTTGATATGGTAAAAAATAAATAAAAAACAAAACAAAACAAAATAAGGATGTTATAGGGGGAAAAAAAAGCATTCAAGTAAATGAGCCCACAAAATGCTGGGCAAGGGCGTGTGTTCACCTCCAATTTTCAACACTCTTTTGTGTGACTGGATGGAACAAAAGTGTCCTACTTGGAGAAGGCTCTTCTGTGTGATACTATTACCCTCGTACAAAAGCAGGTCTGGAAGGAAGGCTCCTAAAAGAACAGTCTAAAATGTTTAGAGCTCAGTCAAGCAACTCCAAAAGTAACATAGATGAAATTAGTCCTAATATTGTTAAATGGCGCAAACTTCTCCTACAAACCAAAGGCAGAAAAAAAAATGCACCACCCAACAGGCATATGTGCAAAATGGATGCGTGGAGAGCGGCGAAACATATGGGCACCCATCTGGTAAAAGCACACTGCTAGACCTTCCTTACACTTTACATTTGCAGGAACCAGCAGCAGCATTAGAGAACATACATTTCTTTACGAAGGGGTGGGGAAAATCCCAGCTCGCTCATCCACATCTGTTTGACTGAGCGAGTGATGAATCACTTTGATTTCTCATCTCTGCCACCTTGTTCTTGATCTCCAGGGATTTAAACGGCCCCTAAACAGACACCTGGTAGTCTCCTGGAGAAATAAGCACAAAAGTCCACAGACGTACATTTAGGAAAAGAATAGAAGCCAGCAGGGTCCACAGGCCCAAAGGTCAGACATCTCTTGTTAGGCACTTGGCTGGTCACTGTTTCTTTTTGCTCAGTTGAGGGCAACAGCCAACCGTCCAGTAGGCTATCACAATCTCATCAGTGACAGACCTAATCACGGCAGGCAATGACAACAGTGGGCCTTCTGCAGGTCAGCTGCATGCCTGGCGTGTTTCAGGGTGTGAGCAAATCAAAAAGTGGAGATATAATAGTGTTTTGCAGAGGGTAGTGTTTTGGATTTGACCCAGGGACAGCCTGTGACTCTTGGGCTAATTCAAAAATCCATTTGTAAGAGATCAGGGCAGGCCTTTGATAAAATCTGTTTGTCCCTTTCGTAAACCTATGGCTTGGGAGAGAAAAAAATGAGGATGACTGAAATGGAAGCCAGCATGCTGTGAAGCAAATTGTTAGCTTCCAGTATTACCTTTATTTACAACAATGCCTCTGGGCCTCATAGCTTCCATAGGAACTTTTAGAAAATCGGTAACAGCCAGCTGCAACTCACTGATTTGCTCAGAAGTGAGCAATCTCTTCCCCTACCCCCCAAATACAAAGTTAAGGTGGGTGAGACAGTGTGCTGGGATCTAGAGGGGGTGGGGGCACCTCACCACTTTACCCTCTGGCAAATTGGTGTTTTGCAACCAGCTGTCCCTCTGTGGCAGATATGGGATGAATTAGCCAAGCTCCTCACCGCAACCTATTTTGTGAGAGTGAACCCAAGATGCTTTCAAGATTCCAATTCTGATAATGGGCTGAAACTGGGTGTTGCTTTCTGGGCAACACTTAAGAAAAACAAGGATGATGGGATGAGACAAGGAGGCTCCATGACCTCAAGGGTGAAGCAAGACTGTGATCCTTCCCTTGGCTGTTAATGGATGAGAATTATTATGGAACACAGTCCAGAAAAGCACAAAGATTTAGTTTAATTGGGGATGACTCA